AAATGAGTCAGAAAGAGAGGGATAGACATAGAAAAATTGCATTCATCTGGGGGATATAAAGCAACAAAATATGAGATCAATACCTAAGAATAGCTGAGATCAACACCAGGAGGATTACTCCATAGCTTAGAGGCCAGCCCGATATTCTAGGGGAAAGGGCAGTTCAGATAGAGAAGGGAACACCAAATGAAAGGTGTTTGGAGGATCCTCCCAGTAGGGGAAATGCATGTTGAAAGTAGACTATGGACTGAACATGATTGCCACTCAATGCCTCTTTTGCAGACCACAACACCCAAAAGGAGAGAGAGAACAAAGGGGAATGCCCTGCCACAGAGGCAGGGTGGTAGGGGGGGTGGGGGGAAATGGGCACTGGTGGAGGGATGGGTATTTGATCACTGTATGACCGAAACTCAAGCACAAAGATTTGTAAATCTACAACTGTACCTCATGGTGCTTCACTAATAAAAAAAAAAAGTTGGAGTATCAGACTTTCCTATTCAGTGTCCTGTCTTAGTACTAATTTGTTTTTTTCTTTTCTTTTTTTTATGTAGGAGTACTGCTATTTATTCAGTCACTGAGTAGCTGATTGAATTGTACATGAAATCCACCTTTCTTTGTTTTCATTTTTTATAATTTTATTTATTGAATCACTATGAGAGCAGTTACAAAGCTTTTGGGTCTAAGTCTCGGTCATACAATGCAACACCCGTACCTTCACCAGTGCCCATTCTCCACCACAAAAACTCCAGTATACCCCCATTCCACACCCTACCCCTGCCTGTGTGGCAGATGATTTCCACATTACTCTCTCTCTACTTTGTTCTCATTCAATATTTCGACACCAGACCCACCATTATTATTTGAGATTTTACCCCAACACTCAGATATGCTGAAAAGGCAACAGTAGACAATTTGTGTTCTATTGCTGGTTATGAATAACATATGATGTCGCGTGGCTGCAGTAGGGCCATGTGATTTTGAAATTCCAAAATTTTAACACTTAAATCTGGAGGGATTTCTGTCAAAAGCCACTGGGTTTCGAGATTTGCTCCTGAGTCTCTGGGATCATGGCCATTGAGCAGCTTGATCATGAGCCAAAGAGGCCGTTCGTGGGCGATGACTTGGGGTTTCGTTGTGTTGGGGAGGACAGGCCCGGCTCCTCCCCCATCCCATGAGGCCCAGAATGTCTCGTCACTGCGGGCCCAGACCTGACTGTCCAATGGCCTCTGGAGGATGACGAGCACTGAGCCGCCAAGAGGGAGCAGGCGGAGGGACAACACCTTTTCCCCCTGGGGTGGCCCGGCGGCAGTAACCTACTGCAGGGTTCGGACACATTTCTGCCAAAAGCCTCTGGGATTCTAGATTTGTTTCAGAGTCTCTGGGATCATGGCCGTTAAGCGGTTTGATGAGGAGCCAGAGAGGCCGTTCATGGGCGGTGACTTGGGGTCTCGTTGGGGTGGGAAGGACAGGACCCGCTCCACCCCCATCCTGTGAGGCAATGTGTGTCTCATTACTGGGGGCCTAAACCTAACTGTCCAGTGACCTCTGAAGGATGGCGCCCACTGGGCCGATGGGGGGAATAGGCCAAGGCACGAAACCTATTTCCACCTGGGTTGGCCCAGCACCAGTAACCTACTGCAGGGACCGGACGCATTTCTGCCAAAAGCCTCTGGGTTTTGAGATTTGTTTCTGAGTCTCTGGAATCATGGCCATTAAGCAGTTCAATCAGGAAACAGAGAGGCCATGCCTCCAATTATACAGCAGAGCCGGAGGTGGTTTGTGGGTGCATTTCTCACATACCTAACTTTTGGCCGTTTAATTTCTTGGCAAACTTTGCCCCAAGTTTTTGGGGTCTGGCCAAAGGTACAGGAGCAATTTTGGGGTATCTGGAAGTCTGAAGGCGCCATCAGGCTGCTGATGCACTCACCTCACAGGTACAGATTGACCTGCTGGCGGCACCATACCCCCAAGTACTAATTTGTTTTTTGATTTGTGGGAGGCGGTATCACATGCTGTAGGACTCAGGATTTATTCCCAGCTCTGTGCTCAAGGATCATTCCTTGTGGTGTTCAGGGAAACAGATGGGATTCAGGATATCAAACCAAGATCTGCCTCTTGCAAGTCAAGTGTCTTTACCTCTTAACTGCAGCTCTGTCCACCCAATTCATTTCTGCTGATATAATAGTTTTTCCAAGAGGGTAAATATTTATGTACTTAGATAATTATTGATGTATAATGTTATTGAACATCCACCACCTCCATTGTGCCAAAGATCTTCTTTCACTAACTTTAGGTCATTTCTCCCACCACCTCACATTTGCCAACAATCCACTTTCAAGCCTTCATCTTCTCCATCTTTTTAACCCTTGCTGACCTCAGTCTATATTCAGATAGGTCAGACCATAGAGGAGTGCATTTAATTCATTCCTGTACCGGAGCTTAGAGTACATAATTATATTCTGAGAATTGATACTATGCTGGACTGCTAAAGGATAAATGTATCAATGATCAAGAAATATGGAGAAAAAAATATAGTTTGGATCCCTAGTGACAAAAAGAATTGAGAAGGCTAGTAGTGCTGGCACCAAAACCACCGTGAAACAGAAGATGAAATAACAAGATGGTACTGGCTTGACTTCCCATGTTAACTTGCCTATATGTCAGATGTTTGTAGACTAACCTGAGGATAAAATTGAGAAGGTATCTTTGTCAAGATGTTTCATTCGAGGTAGAATTTAAATGTAAATACCAGCTCTATTTTTTAATTTGTCCATTTTATTTTCATGAGGTTGTTCACAATAATTGATTATGTTCAATATTTAATCGCCAATCCCACCACCATTTCACCTCTCCACCACTATTATTTTGAATTTTCCAACCACGACTAAAGCCTGCCCCACAGGCAGATGCTAGATAATTTATTTTGTATTGCTTATTATGAGTAGTAGGAGATGTCATGAGTCCGTGCGCTCATGTAATTCTAAAATTTGAAGTAGCTGAGTTCTGGAGACATCTCTGCAGCATGCTACTCTCTTCTGAGATTCCTTTGTGAGTCTCTGGATCATGGCCGCTAATGTGCTCACATGGCACCTGGAGGCAGTTTGTGGGCATGACTGTCAGAACACTAGAAGGGTGGAGAGACGGGACGAGGTGACTCGTTTTGATTCTGTGAGGCCTGGAGTTTTCTTTTTTCTTTCTTTCTTTTTTAAAAATTATATATATTAAGAGTTACAAAGGTTTCATGTTTGAGCTTTGATCATACAATTATCAAACCCTCATTCCTTCACTAGTGCACATTCTCCACTACCAAATTTCCTAGTATTCCTCCCTTACCATTCCACCCCTTCCCTGACTGTGTGGAAGACAAATTGCACAATACTCTCTATTTACTTTGGTTACATTCGATATTTCAACACCAATCCCACCACCACTCAAACCTGCCGAAAAGCAAAGCTGGACAATTTGTTTTGTATTGCTTGTTATGGTTGAAATATAATGTTGCCTTGCGCCCTATGAATTCTAAAATTTTAATAATTAGGATCTGGGGAGACCTCTGCAGGGAGTTGCTCAGTTCCAAGATTCGTGTGTGTGTCTCTGGATCATGGCCGTGTGGGAACTTAAGTTGTTCGTGGCCGTTTGTGGGCCTCATCTCAGAGTCCTGTGAGAAGTAGAAATGGGGTTAAGAAGATTCCCCAAACCCCATTTTACCACCCTCACCATCACGCCTGCCTCTGGAAAGCCTGGCACTCCATGCCCACAAGCAACATCTTCCAGCAGAGAAATGGTCCAGCTCCTCAACTAACCTCCAAGAGAACATAATGCCCCTGAATCTTCCCAGGTAGACCGAACCAGGGTAAAAACTCTGGGGCTGTCTCAAAATGGGGGCAGGAAGATTCTGCCTGGAGACAAAGTAACACACAGGATTCTTCTATTTTTTCAGTAGATATCATTTTTGATCCTTGGAAACTGTCCATGAGTAAGAATTTACTTGTTTGGTAGGTATTTTTTCTCTTTATATTATTTTCTCTTGGAATCATGACTGTAAAAAACTACACACGCAGAAGTTTGTGTGTTCGCGGGCTCTCTGGACGGCTCTATCTCACTGCCCGCGTTTGGTGCCCTAGAGCCGCTGTGTGTGGCCTGTATCGGGACGGCTGTTGGCCAAGGGCAAATGAAGGAAGAGACGAGGGCCAGGCTCGTTGATCTTAGTGGCAGTTTATTACAAGGAAGTTTATCCCATAGGATAACCTTATGTTATGGAGGGCCTAGGTTCTCTCAAGCACACATTGCCCTAGCTAGTCTCCCTGTGGTCCATCTTTCAGCCCTGCTCTCTCCTTCTCCAGCTCCCTTCTAGTCTGGCTGACACTCCACACAGTCAGGTAGCCAAATCAACATAAAGCCCTTCCTGACTGCTCAAGGGCAAGATACCTCTTAAGGTGTTTTTCTCTTTTCCTCAGTCCAATAAACTATCAACTATTTCTGAGGTTATGCAGGAAGGACAGAACAGTGTTATCCTACACATGACTGCTATTGTTTTCTTCCAAACTGTTTCTATATTCACAACCTGACCTTCTCAAGTGCTCAAAGGAAAAATCAGAAAAAAGGTATAATTTGACAGTGAGGGTACAATCTCCTCCTACTCCAATTGAGCATTTTCTAAATTCATGCTTGATAACATTCATGCATATATGTGTTCAAGAAATATTTGCTTCTTTTTTGTTTGTCATTCTGGCAGTGTATTTCCAAAGCAGACAGTGCTTAAAATCATGAGGTAATAATCTTAACACATAAATCAAATATTAATTTAGGAAGCAATCACTGTGCTAATTGCCAAGAACCAAAACTCTTGCCTCAGCAAAATGGGAAATAAAAACTTAAGCAACACTTTGGAATCTGTAACATTGTGGTTAGGAGCAGTCCTGAGTGAGGGAGAGAGGGATGGAATTGAGGTCAGCTGACCTGCATGTGTCCTTGGGGCAACTACTAGAGAGGATCACTAGGTACAAATAGCCCTGGGCTGCTCAGGCTCCAGAATCCAGCTCCTAACTTCTTCTCATTACCCAGAAGCTGACGCTCAGGTCCAAACACAGGATGAAGCTGTCCCTGGCTTTTGTCCTGGTTGCTATAGCCCTTTGCTGCTACCAGGGTAAGTCCTCAGTGAATCAAGCGTCCTTGGGCATGCTGACCAGTAGTATGACTTTACCACAGTACCAATAGTAACTGTAATGGAAAACGTTTAATTGTTAGAGATCCGAGTTCTATTTTCTAGATTAATTGTTACCATGTTCTCTACAATTTTGCATGAGGTCATGCACAGAAAGTGGCATATGGCTTCTTGGTATTTTCTCCTTAATCTGACTTTGAGGAATATCAGGAACTACCCAACTATCAACATGCTTGTTTCTTTTTCTTTTGTCACAGCGGATGCAGGAGCCGTCTGTCCATCAGTTGCTCAAGATCTAGTTAATTTCTTCACGGCTCCAGACCATGTCTACCTCAGAGAACTTCTGAAGTACGACTTATCTCAGCAGGTTGTGGCGGATAGGATGGAATTAAAGCAATGCTCGAATAACATGAGCATGAGAAACAGACAGCTCATGAACAGACTATTGGTAATTTCTTTCTTCTTTCTTCGTATGGGTTTTGCAGAGATGCACTGCAGAAAGGAGGGTGATCTTCTTTTAGGATTCACTAATAGAGACTGGCCCTGTGTTCACTTATGATAAGTGATCTGTGTTTACATCATCCTTTAGGACAATTATACCTACCTATCACATGGGTCAGGGCAAAGGTCAGGCCAGGGACCACCATCCTAGGTCACCAGAAAGGCTCTGAACCAGACTGGCTTTCAGAGGGTGAAAACTAAGTCCAATGAGTGATGTGGAAGTGGCAAATATTTTAGGTCTTCATCAATGATGCAGATGTCTGAGGGCTCCACGATATCACTGTCTCTAGGAGAGGAGGTGATGATTCTCAGAAAAAGTCCATAAAAGCTGGATTTTTTCTGAAAAGTACATGTGCCTCAGGTTCAAGTTGCACATCGTGCGGCCAGGAATCTCTGAAAGTGAACCCCCCCATCCCTGTCCAAACTATTAGTCCTAAGTCACGTTGGGGGTATCAAAACTATATTTGACCTGGGACATCAGAGAGAATTTGTATATTTCATCATCCAACTCATCTTCATTAGCTCTCAATTGAATTGTGAAGTAGGTCATTGCTTGTTCACTAGAACTGTACTTGGTCAGTGTCAGTTTCTCCCACATGCTGTGCGAGCCTTGTCAGCTTCTTATTTATTTTGTTGATGACATATCCTTGAAACCCTGGGTGTGACTCACAGCCTGTGTTAACTTGGTTTCTCCTGAGCAGCACGTTTGACACCCTGCATCCTTTTTTCTTTTTCTATTTCAGATGAAAATTTATGCCAAGTGCAAGGAATAGAAGGGGAAATTCTTCTATACCATCATCCAAAGGTTGCAATATTGAAGTGACCTTATTAGGAAATCAATGCATGAAATTCAATATTTGTTCTAATAAATTTCTTTGTCTGAACATCTCTGCTTGTCTTTTTATTGCCTGTTTTGATTCAGGAATGTATGACCTTGATTGGGGAAGGATTTCCCTTGAAGTGGGCCTTGAGTGTTGAAAACAGACAAGTACAAAAAATGAGGAACCAGTTGCACATGTCAAACTAGGTGCAGGAGTCTCATATAAAATAATTCTATATCTCTGAGTCATTCTGCATTTCATTTCATTCTTTCCATTAGAAAGCAATGAAGATCAATTAAGACAGAACCTATCTGACCATGTCAGGGAAAAATGGGCAATATCAGAAGGGAACAGTTCATTTTTTTTTAGTTCTATTGAATCACCGTGAGACAGTTACAAACTTTCGTGTTTGGATTACAATCACTCAATGATCAATCACCCGTCCCTCCACCAGTGCACATTCCCCATCACCAATATCCTAGGCATACCTCCCCTACCGCCCCTTTTCCACCCTCCCCCTGCCACTATGGCAGATAATATTCCCCATACTCTCTCTCTCTCTCTCTTTCTCTCTCTCTCTCTCTCTCTTCTTTTGGGCATTATGGTTTACAATACAGAAACTGAGAGGTTATCATTTTTGGTCCTTTATCTACTTTCAGCACACATCTTCCATCCCGACCTTAAGCCATCATTTTCTTTAATCCCTTCTCTATTCCAGCTGCCTTCTCCCCAGCCTCATGTTATGTTGTTTTTTTCCAGCCCCAAATAGTTACATTTTTACTTTCCTTTAGTTAAGCATTGACTGATGTAGAAGCCTATCAATACGAATCTAAATTGATAAACAATGAAATGTTATGATTTAAGTGAGATGTTTTGTGGTTAACTTAATTTCATAATACAAGTACTATAGTAAAACAAGTATTCTGCAAAAATAAGAAGGATACATTTAAATGTATGAGTATAAAATGAAGTTGGTATAAGCCAACTCTAATAAGAGAAGAACATGTTTTCAACGTCAGGTAGAGACTCCGGAATTCAGAAATAACCAGACCTTCAAGGTTATGATATGTACCCACTGTTCCATTTCCCCAACATGTGACCTTCCTTTAGTTTGCTGTCCAGAATATTCCTTTGAGTGAATTATTTGGCCTCTCCATAAGTTTTAACGGAGATATTATTTCCTAGAAGTAATTTTATTTTTAAAATTATTCTTTTATAGTTTCTGATTTGCTCGAGCGGGCCCAGTAACGTCTCCATTGGAGACTTTGTTGTTACTGATAATACTTCTTTAGGTTTAAATAACATTTTTTAAAAAATTATTCTATCTCTTTCGTTTTGGGTGCTTTGGTTTGCAAAAGAGGCATTGAGTGGCAATCATGGTCAGTCTATAGTTCCACATTCAACATGCATCTCCAATCCTAGGAGGATCCTCCCAACACCCTTCATTTGGTTCTCCTTTCTGTATCTGAGTTGCCTTTTCCCCTAGCGTATGCGAGTGGCCTCCAAGCCATGGAGTAAACCTCCTGGTACTTATCTTGGCTATTCTTGGGTGTTAGTCTCCTATTTTGTTACTTTATGTTCCCCAGATGAATGCAATCTTTCTATGTCTGTCCCTTTCTTTCTCACTCATTTCACTTAGCATGATACTTTGCATGTAGTTCCACTTGTATGTGAATTTCATGATTTAATTTTTTCTAACAGCTGCATAGTACTCCACTGTGTATGTACCAAAGTTTCTTTAACCAGTCATCTGTTCTCAGGCACTCAGTTTTTTTCCAGATTCTGGCTATTGTAAAGATTGCTGCAATGAACAAACAAGTGCAGATGTCACTTTGACTATACTTTTTTGCCTCTCTAGGATATATTCCCAGGAGTGGGATTGTTGGGTAAATGGGAGCTCGATTTCTAATTTTTTGAGAGTCTTCTATACTGTTTTCCAAAGGGCTGAACCACTCGGCATTCCCACCAACAATGAAGGAGGGTCCCTTTCTCACCACATCCGCACCAACAGTGGTTGCTTTTGTTCTTTTGGATGTGGGCCAGTGTCTGTGGTGTGAAATGATATCTCATTGTTGTTTTGATCTGCATCTCCCTGATGATTAATGATGTAGAGCATTTTCTCATGTTCCTTTTAGCCATTCGGATTTCTTCTTTGAGAAAGTTTCTGTGCATTTTTTTGTTCCATTTTCGATGGGGTTGGATTGTTTCTTCTTGTGGAATTCACCCAGTACTTTGTACATCCTTGATATCAACCCCATTGTCAGATGTGTATTGGGCGAATATCCTTTCTCACTCTGTAGGCACTCTTTGTATAGAATGCTACACAAATTTGCGTGTTATCCTTGCACAGGGGCCATGCTAATCTTCTCTGTATTCTTCCAATTTTAGTATATGTGCTACCAAAGTGAGGACTGTTATGTTGTTTCATACTCCAGAAATGAGTGCAGCCCTTCGATGTCTGTCCCTCTCTTTCTGAATTATTTCACTTAGCACGATACTCTCCATGTCTATTCATTAATAAGCAAATTTCATGACTTCGTCTCTCCTAACAGCTGCGTAGTATTCCCGTGTGCAGATGTACCAAAATTTCTTTTTTTTTTTTTTAGTGAAATACCATGAGGTAAAGTTGTAGACTTACAACTTTTTGTGCTTGGTTTTCAGTTATACAGTGATCAAGTAGCCATCCCACCACCAGTGCCCATTCTCCACCCCCACCAATCCTAGTATTCCTCCCACCCCCTCATCCCCCCCATCCCACCCTGTCTCTGTTGCAGGTCAATCCCTTTTGTTCTCTCTTTCCTTTTGGGTGCTGTGGTTTGCAAAAGAGGCATTGGGTTGCAGTCATGTTCGGTCTATAGTCTACTTTCATCATGCAACTCCCATCCTGGGCGGATCTTGCCAGCACCCTTTATTTGGGGCTCCTTTCTCTATCTGAGCTGCCTTTACCCATAGAGTGTGCGGCTGACCTCCAAACCATGGAGTGAACCTCCTGGTATTTACCACAGCTATTCTTGGGTGTTAGTCTCTTATTTTGTTACTTTATGTTCCCCATATGAGTGCAATCTTACTATGTCTGTCCCTCTCTTTCTGCCTCATTTCGCTTAGCATGATATTTTCCATGTAGTACCACTTGTATGTAAACTTCATGAGTTAATTTTTCTAACAGCTACATAGTACTCCATTGTGTAGATGTACCAAAGTTTCTTTAACCAGTCATCTGTACTTGGGAACTCAGGTTTTTCCAGATTATGGCTATTGTAAACAGCGATGCAATGAACAAACAAGTGCAGATGTCGCTTCGACTATACATTTTTGCCTCTCCGGAGTATATTCCCGGGAATGGTATTGCTGGGTCAAATGCGAGCTCTACTTCTAATTTTTTGAGAATCCTCTATATTGCTTTCCAAAAGGGTTGAACCCGTCGGCATTCCCACCAGCATTGAAGAAGGGCTCTTTCTCGCCACATCCGCACCAACAGAGGTTGCTTTTGTTCTTTAGGATATGTGCCATTCTCTGTGATGTGAAATTATATCCCATAGTTGCTTTGATCTGCATCTCCCTGATGATTAATGATGTAGAGCATTTTCTCATGTGCCTTTTAGCCATTCGGATTTCTTCTTTGAGAAAGTTTCTGTTCATTTCATTGCCCCATTTTTTGATGGGTTTGGATGTTTTCTTCTTGTGGAGTTCAACCACTAACTTGTTTATCCTTGATATCAACCCCTTCTCGGATTTCTATTCGGTGAATATTCTTTCCCATTCTGTAGACTGTCTTTGTATTTTGGTCACTGTTTCTTTTGAGGCGCAGAAGCTTCTTAGATTAAGAGAGTCCCATTTGTCTATCTCTGTTTTCAATTGCTTACCAAAATTTCTTTATCCAGTTATCTGTTCTAGGGCACTTTGGTTGTTTCCAGATTTTGGCTATTGTGAACAGTGCTGTAATGAACATGTAGGTAAAGATGTCTTTTCTAATGTGCCTTTTTGCATCCTCGGGATATATTCTCTGAAGTGGTATTACGGGGTCATATGGAATTTCAATTTCTAGTTGGTTTTTTTGGGGGGTCACACCCGGAAATGCACAGGGGTTATTCCTGGCTCTGCACTCAGGAATTACCCCTAGTGTTGCTCGGGGGACCATATGCGATGCTGGGAATTGAATCTGTGTCGGCCGCGTGCAAGGCAAATGTCCTACTCGCTGTGCTATCACTCCAGTTCCTCAATTTCTAGTATTTGAAGGACTGTCCATAGACTGGACCAGTCGGCATTCCCAGCAACAGTGAAAGAGTGTCCCTTTTTCTCCATATCAGTGCCAGCAGTGGTTGGAGAAACAGTTCTTTAAAAAATAGTTGAATGTCTACTGGCCCAGAAAATATGTACTAGTTCTTTCCATGTGTATTCGAGAGAGAAATTATATCACTTTTTAAATTAAAGATAATAAATATGCTGCTTACCAAACAAAAATTCACACACAATATAGTGTCTGCATTAGAGTTATTAATGTTTTAAGACCCTTTCATTCAATAAAAATTTACAGTAACAAAAAACAAAAACAACAAAAAAAAACAACAAAAAATAAATAAAAAATAAAAAATAGTTAAGAGATGTAGGCACTCCAGTGGAGCTTCTGGGAACATTGTGAAAGTATTGTAAAGATAAAGACTGAAAAAATTTAAAACAATCTAGTGACTGCTCATACAGTAAGAGAAAATTTGGAATGTTTATGGGTCAAACCTGAGTTTCCCAACCAGCAGCACTACTGTTCATGATCATTAGAAGAACCATAACAAATGACGAGTTGTGGTGAGTTTCCAAAGGAAATCATGGGCGCATGCTTGGGACATGAGCGTTCAGGGGCCGAGAACTGTTCCTCAGTCTAGCCCATGGCAGCGTTGATGAACAGAAAAAGGACTGGGGGGACGCAGAAACCGGGACTGTGTCCCAGGCAGGTCGGTAGCCAATTTATTTCTCTCTCCTCTCCAGTGGACTCCAATCTCTCTCCTTATGGTGCAATTGTAGTCGTAGTTTTGATCGTAATCCCAGTCATCATAGTTCCATCATCCTAG